TACCTCTCGTTTTCCTTGCCTCCCTGCTCGCGCTCTCTCTTCAGATCAATCGCCCCTACACCCATATGCCCACTGCCTCTGGCTCACGGTTCACCCCTGAAACCGGCTCTCCTTTGCACTCATTGGCCCAACCCCACCATAGGTGACTCCATCACCGCGGGCTTTGCCATGCAAGATCTTCCCCTCGAGTTTCGTGGAACCGTCTACAGTGCGGGTGGTGATCCCGATGCCTTGACCATTGGCAACTTTCTCAAGCACTACAACCCCAATCTCAAGGGCCAGGCCACTGGCACAACGATCCCCCTTACCAAAGAAGGCAAGGGACTGAACTTTGCCGTCTCCGAGGCCCGTGTTCATGACCTTCCCGGCCAAATTGAGCGACTGTCCGCCAAACTGAACACGAGCGAGTATGCTGGCGTTCGCGACGAGTGGAAGCTCCTGGTCCTCTTCATTGGCGCCAACGACATTTGCGAATGCAAGTCAATGACCGCCGAAGCCTTTGAAACCGAGCTCACGACAGCCATGGACATGATTCATGCCAACTTTCCCAAAACTTTTGTGAGCATGATGACCATCTTCAACATTAGTGACGTTTGGGATGTGCACAGCGACAAAGAGTCAGTTTTGGCCCTGCTTTGTGTTTCCCTCGCCTTCCACCTTCCTGACTGAGCCGGCCCAGACTTTGACTTGGACGACTTGTGCCTCATCGCAGATATTGTAACGTTGCGGTTCCCATCCTGCACGAGTGCTCTTGCCTTGAGAACAACCAGACTTCGCTGCAGCGCATGGACGAACTGGGCATGCAAATCAATCAAGTGACCGCACGTGTGGCCGCCAAATATGCCGCCCTCAATGACCCCCTTTTCACGGCCGTCGTGCAGCCGGCCATCCAAAATGTCCCTCTCAACACCTTTCCCAAAGATGTCGTTCAAGACTTGCTCAGCGATGTTGATTGCTTCCATCCCAGCCTCTGCACTGACCAAGGCTTTGCTGTACGTCTTATCCTCACCCCCTTCACCGCGCAATGCCTCTCCAGCCATGACGGCGCACACCATCTACCCCAACACCTTGGCTTGACTAACGCCGTCATCACCCAGTCGCTCATTTGCGAATTCCGTACATCCCTCTGTCCTTTAGGTGGGTGTTTGGAACAACATGTTCCAAGCTCAAGGCAACAAGAGTACCAGTCTGAATCCCCTTCACCCCCCTGCCATTTACTGCCCGCAAGCTGGCGAATATCTCCAGTAGCGCCATCAGCTTACGGATTATCAATGCAACCCTATCGTCAATATTCTTTTCCTTCATACGCCTCAATCAATTTACTTCTTTTCTTCGTCCCAAGATCGATGCACAAATACCTACTCACATCTTGATCGACCAAGAAGGGCTGATCAATGTTGAAGGCCACACTTGTCTATCCCTGCCATCACGCTTGACCGACCGATTTCCTCTCTAAATCTATCCAAGCCATGCCGGCTTTTAATATCACATAATCATGTATCCAACGCTGCGGCGCATTCACACACGAATCATCATTGAAAAGAGTCGGGCGACAAAGAAATTTTCACTCTCAATTGTTTGTAGATTGTGGATGAAGAGAAATTGGATTACAATCATGGAACTGTGTACAGAAATTATGGCTTGCACGAATACTACTAATCAACGTTTGGTTCAGTGAGATGGCGTGCTTGGCTCGTCTGCATCTTCTGATCCTGCGACGCATGTGCGCCATCCAGGACCACAGAGCATGTCGACTCAAATACTTTACATATAGCACGCCACCCCAACCAGGGTGCATTCAAAACCACAAGCAGGCGTGATTTGACATTTGAACAAAGTGTGCCAACACACATTCACAAGGGCACACACGAGCACAGATGACACGAGCCAGGCATTCTCCTTCAAACCCACTTTGAGGGAAAAGTCACATGACTGAACAAGCATCATCATGCCAAAGACAACACAGACAAAGTCACGGTCACATGACAGCCTCGCTCAAGAGCGCGGCCTTCATACTTACACACAAGAGCATGCAAGCTGATAACACAAAAAAATGATGCACAGATACATCAAGTTCATAGCAGATAGGTGAGCAGCCAGACCTGTCTCTGGATCAACCACATAGAGAACTGACTGCTCTCGCATCCGCTGATTGTCAGAAAAGATGAAACAGAAAATGGGAACCATGCCAGAGTGGGCACGATCAGCGTTCAAGGAAGACCTGAACGAGTCGAGTAACCACAATTATTGCTTGGCTAGAGGCCGGGCTGGCCCAGGCATGTCTGGAAACATTGGGCGAGCTCCTGGCTTGCCGGGACCACCACCGGGAAACTGGGGAAAGTTCATGCGACGTGCATTCGCTTCCACATTTGCAAATGGATCTGTGAAAGCAGGTGGTGCTGGAGGTCGAGGGAAGCCGGCCTGGTCTGCTTGAGGCAGCGCACGAGTCGCGGGGAAGCTCATTGCATCCACTCCGGTGCGAATTGAACCAGGCTTGGACTTTTGCACAGGTGGGAAGGGACCGGCAGGCTTCGTTGCAGTATCCCCGCCCGGCGACGCAGGTCCATTGTCATGGAGCGATGGTTGAGCTCGCGGTGCGAATGGATCGCCATTCGGTTTGGCACCAGCGGCGTTAGAACCAAAAGCATTCATGTTGGTAAAAGGATCCGATGCTGCAGGCGGAGGTGATGCCGCACCATCGCTCATCACTGGAGACTTGGTAAGGACAGGACGCGCATCCGTGGCAGGAAACACGGTCGGTTTTGGTAGGCGGGGCATGCTTGGGCCCACACGATCCTTGCCACCGTCGACGGGCGCTGGTTTGATCGGCTGGAAATCAACAGGCGGCGGCGAAGATGAGCTCGCGTTTCGGCCCAGATCGCGGCTTAGCTTTTCAAGAATTGTTCGCTCAGCTGCCTTGTCGCGAGGAGTTGTATCGTCAGAAACCAGATTGGCCTCTTGCCGCACTGAGATGGTGCGCGGCTTCGGAACAGTCTGCGGTGAGCTCACTACCTTTGGTGAGCGCCAAGCTAGATTGATGGTACCATCAGGAGACTTGGGAGGCGAGACTGTGTTCTCGACGCGATGCACCCGGTGACGCTCCTCGCTACGACGATTAACACGCATGTGTACGAAAATAAACCCAATAACGATCAGAACGCCCACAATCGTGCCGATCAACGCGATGCCAGTGGTGGCCCACTCTTGGTCGCTGGTGGAGGCCTGAACTTCAGTATTCTCTTCGGATCGAGAAGCTGAGACAGAGTAGGTACCGAAATCACTGGGAAATTCCATCTCAAACTCTTGAATGCGGCGGTCAGCCTCAGTGGCATCAGCATTCTCAGCAAAAAATGCAAAGATAACATCGAC